GGTCCTTTCCACCCATTGCCCCGAGTCCCCAGCCTCTGGGCAAAGCTCACCTGGTCCACTGAGCAGGTAAGACACTGGCGTCTGAGATTAGACGGCAGGAAAAACTGCCCTTGGCGAGGGACTTTCGGGGACTTGTGGCTCTTAGGAGAACGCAGGGTTCCAGGGTGAGAGCTGCCCGCTTCCTTCGGAGGGAAACGGATCTACAAGGGGATGTCCCCTGGGGGCCAGAATTTTCTGGCGCCTTCTGGGGGATGGAACTCGATGGTCTCTGATCTCGGCTGCTCCCTCACGCTCAGGACGGGGTGCCGGTGGGTCCCCGGTTCAAGCCTGACCGAGGGTATCTCAACTTCCAGAATACACGTGCAAATCGCAGCAGGGAGTGTTAGCCTGGAAAACATGGGGAGATAGAAAACTGGCAAGTGGTGTGAACCCTTGTGCATGAAAACCTTCAAGCACCTTTCAATAAAACTGGCAACTTAAAGAGAAGACGCGTATTTTCCAACAACGCCCGCCCGGGAGAGGCAGCGCCCTGGGGTGGATCTGCAGGATCCCAGGTGAGGCTAAACCGCCCAGTGGGAGCCAGGGCTGCTCGGTGATCGAGATCGGACCTTGAACCCAGGGCCCCTCGGGCCCCAGAGCTTTTCTCCCACCAGTCTTTCGCTGGAAGTACCCTGGTGTCTTCCCCCAGAAGTGGAGGAAGGGAAGGAGCTTTCCCCTCCCTCTCTGGGCGGATTCCACGGCGCTACACCCGCTCCTCCGCTTCCTGATTGGCTTATGGCCCCTGTCAATTAAAAGCCTTCTGCAATGCTCCCGCCCTATTAACCCTATTGTCCCTCCCTAGCGACTGAAGGGGCTAGAACGCGGGCTTCTCAACTTGGGTCCTGTGGGTTACCCCGCGCTGGTTGGGCTTCAGATTCCTGGACGCTCCCCTTTCCCGAGGATCTGGGTGAGCAGGTGGGGCCGCGAGTTCTGTACTGGGAACAAGTGTCCGAGTGGTTCTGAGCCCCCTCGCAGTCTGAGAAGCCCCGCTATCCGTGGCCCTCCAGGAGGGGGCTTGGACCCCAGCCCTTCCCTAGCACTGAGGGTCGCAGCTGGGCGGGGAGCCGTTCAGTGACCCCTGGAGACTAGTCTGAGCAGCTCTGAGGGGGGGCGAGGCGGGCCCTCTGAGCTGGAGGGGAGCACTCGGTTGTTGGGAGTCAGGGCTCTGCAGCCACCCTCCAACTTCTGTAGGAAAGACTTTAGTCACTGGGAGAAAGATCGGATAGCACGATCTAAAATCAGGGTATTTGGATTTTATCAACCACGTGTAGGTCGTGGTTGCTTTCCTTCTAATACTGTATAAAACGGGAATTCCCCCCACACACACACACATGATAACGTAGTTTAAACGAGAATCAGCTGTTCTCTCTCACATCGATGTTTCTGTCTCCCTCCCCTCTCCCCAATAAATAAATAAATAAGAATCAGAAATCCTTCAGCATCCAGGGCCAACTTCATGGGCCTGAGACCTGTGCAGTAGCACAGGGCTCCATGCTTGGTTTAATAACTTGGTTATTATAATAACTCGCTCTGCTGTCACTGGCTTGAAGCTCTTCATAATGTTTTGAATAAAGAGTGCCACATTTTCATTTTGCACTGAGCTCCGCAAATTATGTAGCAGCTGCTGGGCCACAAGCATTTCCATACGTAGGCTCTGGTGTTCCCCTCTACACCCTGGCTTTCCTGGGCCCAGGGACACCCGTCTCTCTCCAAGCCAGAGCTGCTGAGGAACCCCCACCCCACGCCCAGCAATGGCTGAACCTGGAGAGCAACTGCCTGCGGAGGTGCTGGCCCTCATCTTCTGCCACCTGCCCCTGAGGGACCGCGCCGCGGCCGCCAGGGTCTGCAGAGCCTGGGCTGCTGCTGCCACCTGCAGCGCTGTGTGGCACGACACAAACATCAGGTGAGCCCGTTCCTCCCCTCCTTCCTCTTGCCACCCTCCAGTCTTCTCTCCCCATATTAAAGATCATAATCATTAATGCATATATAAAACCACCGTCATTACTGACAGCCTACTATGTACAGCCTACTATGTACCAACCATTGTTCTAAGTGCCTTACATATATTAATTAACAGATAGTATTATTACCTCTGTTGCACGCAATGAAAGTTGAGGCAGAGAGAGTTAATCACTTCCTGCAAGTCACTCAGCTAGGGAGTAGCAGAGGCGGAATGTGAACGTCTCCTTAGAGACGGCTGAGAAAGCCCAGTTCCTAAAACCCTGGCTCTCCCTGCCAGGATTTCAACTGTGGCAGATGCCTCTGAAGTCTTCTAAACGGATAGAGTGGGTGTTCTCTACTAGCATTAGCGGCTTGTTTGGGGTAACCAGGCATGGTGGGGTCAGGGAGGTGTGTGGCAGGGGGGCAGAAAGTGGGGATGGTAGCTGGAACCCAGGCTGAGGGATGGGTAGAGGCTTCTCTCCGGATCTCAGGGACTCAGCCCATGCCTTTTCTCCACCGCTCTAACCCCAAGTTGCTACTGTGAGCGAGAAGGCGCGCTGCCACCGTATCTGTCCGACTGCCTGGACCACATTCGCAACCTGCGACTGGAATTTGAGCCATCGAGGGAGCCGAGCCGCCGGGTGGCTACGGAGCTGCTGACCGCACTGGCGGGCCGCAGCCCAGGGCTGCGAGGCCTGCGCCTGGAGTGCCGCGGAGAGAAGCCGCTCTTCGACGCGGGCCGCGACATCCTGCAGGCCGTGCGCGCCATCTGCGGGACCGCTCGCGCGCTGCGTCTCCTCGACCTGCGGCGCTTGCCCTTCACTTTGGACGACTCGCTGGTCCTGCAGGCGGCACGCGGCTGCCCTGAGCTCCGCAGCCTTTTCCTGAACAACGGTACGCTGGTGGGCAGCGTGGGGCCGGGCTCCGTGCTCGAGCTACTAGAGGCCTGCCCGCACCTGTGCACTCTCGGCCTGCACCTGGCCAGCCTGTCACACGCGGCCCTCGATGCCCTGGCGGCGCCGCACCGCGCGCCTTTCGCGCTCCTGGCGCTGCGGTGCGCTTGCGCTGAGGACGCGCGCGCCCCACCTCTGCCCGACGAAGCCTGGGCCGCGTTGCGCCGCCGCCACCCGGGACTGGTTGTGGAGGTGGAACTGGAGCCCGCAATGCCCGCCGAGAGCGTCACGCGCGTCCTCCAGCCTGCAGTGCCGGTAGCTGCGCTGCGCCTCTGCCTCTCGGGGGACACCGTAGGCCCGCTGCGCTTCGCAGCTCTGCACTACGCCGCAACCTTGCGCGTCCTCGAGGTGCGCGCCGCGGCCTCTGCACAGTTGGACTCCGCGCTAGAGTCGCTGGCCCCGCGCTGCCCGGGCCTGCGCGAGGTGCACTGCTTCTGCGTGGTGCGACCCGCCGTCCTGCACGCCTTTCTCGCGCACTGCCCGCGCCTGCGCAGCTACACGCTCAAACTAACGCGGGAGCCACATCCCTGGCAGCCCAAGCTTGTGGAGTGATGAGGCCACACCACTCCCGTCCCTGCCCCAGCAGGCTTGTGGCTTCTCAGATGCTGGGTGGATTTGCCCTAGGGAGCGCCAAACGCTAATCTGCTCCTTCACAACTCTGTTGCCTCTTGGGCCTCTGGAGGATTGGGGGGGACGGGGAAGACGTCCCGAGTCCACTTGACGATCTCAGCATCTGCAGACGCCCCATGTCCCCGCGGTACTGGGATCAGCCTCCTCCAACCGCCCTCCTCTGAGAGTCCTGCGCCAGCTCCGGGACCCCGGCGTGGGGTGGCAGGGAGCGGAGGGCACAGGCGCAGGTCAAGTCTCAGGGGTAAGTGTGAAATAAACAAATCCTGAAGCATCTCTGCGTCTAGTGAAAGACCCCGTGGCCTCTGAAGGGAGGGCAGGGATCCCGCAGAGGTCGGAGGAACTGTCCAGGTAGAAGTGGGAGAGACAGACCTTAAGGCCCGTTGTACTGAAGCTGCAGGAATCAGGGGCGGGGCACTCCTTACCCTTGGACTGACGACGCCCCAAGATTCGGAGGGAGGGTGTCCAGTTCTCTTCCTCCCTCCCTTCCTCCTCCGCTCCTCTGTGACCGCTCTACCCGAGGCTTCACTGTGCCCATGACCTTCGCCTTCTAGGATTTTACCCGCCCACACCAGGTTGCGCAAGGGATATTTCTTCCGAAGAACAATGGGAGAAACAGCGGGTCTGAGAAGGGTGGAACTCGAACCCAGGCCTCCCTCTCCCCGCCCCTGCACACACACCGGATCCCAGCCTGCCCTTTCAGTCTGCTGGTGCGGCGGCCCTGGCTGAGCCCCGCCCCGCGGGTTTGCACGCGGCCCCCACCTGACCCGGCGCGGGGTGGGGTGGGGGTGGGGGCGGAGTAGGGCTGGCCAGGCGGCAAACACAGCACTTTCCGTGGCTTTGACGAGCCCGCAGCGGCCCAGCCGATCCATTGGCCGGGCTGCGACTCCGCCATGCAAGAAGCGCCAGCCGCGCTGTTCACAGAGCCGGGCCCCAGCCCCGTGCCTGCCTTCCTGGGCAAGCTATGGGCGCTGGTGGGCGACCCGAGTACCGACCACCTGATCCGCTGGAGCCCGGTGAGGGCTGGGGGCCCCCCACTCCCCCGGGATGGTGGTACCCGGGATGCCTCCACGTCAGGGAACATCCGCTCCCACCCAACCCCCGCCTGGGACGGGGCTGTGGGTCTCTCGATTCAGCGGTACAGGGTAGTTTATCTTGGAGGGGGTGTGCGAGATGGAGGTAAGGTGACCTCCTCTGGGCCGAGAAAAGAGTAGGAGCCTTCTGGAGACTTAGAGCCCAAAGGATCTTTATGGTCATTTAGTTCCCGCACCAACCCATCAGACAGATCGGAAAACAGAGGCCAGAAGAGAAGGGCTGGGTCCGGTTCTAGCTCAGAGTCACATCACGGGTCTGGAACCCATCTGGGCCTGGGACCCCGGTTTGGCCTCTGTACCTCCTTTCTGGGAACCGAGTACCGAGTCTGGGTCTGGCTGGGGCAGGGATTAATTGTCACCACCCCAGCCCAGGCCTCAGAACTGGTTCTAGCCTGCACCGTCCCTTGTCCCCATGAGCAACAGGCCAGGTCCCCAGAGTGAGTGCGCGTCGGCAGAGTGAGGCCCGGCCCGCCAGGGCGCGGGCCGCTCACGGTGCTGTGCGGTCTCCACCCGCACTGTTGGCGGGAGGGCGGTGTCCTCCGCAGAGCGGGACCAGTTTCCTCGTGAGCGACCAGAGCCGCTTCGCCAAGGAAGTGCTGCCCCACTACTTCAAGCACAGCAACATGGCGAGCTTTGTTCGGCAACTCAACATGTGTGAGTCCCTCGGGCCTGGCAGGAGTCGGGGGTGGGCGACTTGGTGCAAGGAGAAAGGGCAACGGACGGCTCCACGCCCGCTCCGCAGACGGCTTTCGGAAGGTGGCGAGTGTTGAGCAGGGCGGCCTGCTCAGGCCCGAGCGCGACCGCGTCGAGTTCCAGCATCCGAGCTTCGTGCGCGGCCGGGAGCAACTCCTGGAACGCGTGCGGCGCAAGGTGGGCCCCCGCAGGAACCAGCAAACCCAGGGGAGGTGTTGGGACCACTGGCCGCGTTTTACGCGACTCGGGCCCGACGTTGCCTCCCGCCCGCAGGTGCCTGCGCTGCGCAGCGACGACAGCCGCTGGCGCCCCGAGGACATGGGCCGGCTGCTGGGCGAGGTGCAAGCTTTGCGGGGAGTGCAGGAGAGCAGCGAGGCGCGGCTGCTGGA